ATATGTATGAATAATTACACAGCTATTTGCAGTAAGAGCTATAAAAAAAGCAGAGTCCTATAAGAATGCATGGCTAAGGAACCTACCTAGACTGGGGTTTTGGGGAAAGTCTCTCTGAAGAAGCAGCATGTATCCTGGGACCACAAGGATGAGTACAAATGGAGAGGAGAAAAAGAGGGAGAACAGAGAGGAGGAGACTATTAAGAAATGTATAGGTTACCTCAATCTGCACAAGGGCCCTGTGTTAAGTACCACAAACCCCATTTACAGATGAAGAAACCCATGCTTAGCAAAACCACACTGCCAGCGAAGGACCTGTCGAGATTCCAGCAGTGCCTGACCCTGGAGCCTCTCTGCCAAGCACCATATCACAGGCCTATACTCTCTCCACAGCATCATGCTGCCTCAAATGCCATCTATAACTAGATTTTGTGCAGATTTGGGATGGGTGTCAGAGCATCTGTTTACCAAAACGCTTATGCTAGGATGCCAACTCTAACCACAAATATCCATAAAACTTAAAGAAAGAAAAAGAGTCCACTCTTGTCATTGGAAATCTGATATACTCAGAAAAATTACAGGGTTATTTAATGAACAGGGATGTTATGTAAAATAGAGGTGATGTTGAAAACCAGATTCATTCCATGTTAAACCAGTTCCCTAAGCTCCTCCCCACTGACTTATACAACCATTTTAACTATGAGAACATAAAACTCACAACAATTCATCAAGAGTAAAAATCCATTTTAAGCTATCAATGCACCATGTATATCAGGTACACACATATGTCCCTCAAACAAAAAATGTGTTGTCAAAACTTTAATAGTACTATATAAACTTTTAAAAATCCCCTTCTAGAGGAGAGGATATGTAGCTCTGGTAGAATAATCAATTGTTAAGAGGCCCAAGTGGTTCTACATTAGCAAAAAGTATGCCTACAAGGAACCTCATTCTAGATATCCAGTGTACTGTAAATTATTATCTCCAATAGAAAATTTTAACTCGTTATACAATTCTGAAAGTATGATTTCAAAGCAAAAGCCTAACTTTTGAAAAACACTTAGCTGGTCTATACAACACAATACTTCCAAATCATGTCGTTTTCATATAATAAAAAAAAAGAAACTAAGGCTGCCTGTAGCCACTAAGTGAGGAAACAAGAGTTGTCTTTAATTACTTAATATGAACGTTAGATTATTTTCATCTTGTGAACCCAACACTTCATTTTCCAAGTAACCAACGATAAACCTTATAGCTCTAGCTTAACACTGCAGGCAAGACTTCAAAAGATTTCTTCATTTAGGGGCAACAGAGAAGTTTTAGGTAACTTAAAATAATCTGATTTTTTTCCCCAAGTAATTAAAAAATTTTAACGCCCCCCGCAATTTTTAATCAAAAATTGTGCAAGCCATGGGTTATGAATTAAAATTTCTCTAGCCTTCAAAACATTGCCCAATGGTTAAAATAATATATGGTAAGAAATCTTTTAAAAAGCATAATCACTATACATACATAAGGTGCTCTTACACAAGTCAGTCACACAATACCTTTTGACAGGGCAAACTGTTTGTACCAAGTTTCAGGGGACCATGTTTGATAACTTCAAGTAATATCTTTACTTCTAAGTAGAAAACATGTGAAACTACCAAAACACTCAACAGAAAGTAGAGATCCTTAGCTCACAGTTGAAACTACTGATAATGAATATACAACAAAATTGTGAGAGTAATAAAATTTTGTGAAGGAAGAACTAAGTTCTTTATAAAGACTCTTCCTGGAAGTTTTTGGGTTGTGCTGGGTTCAGATGGTTCATTTCTTTCTTGCGGGAAGGAGAGAAATTGCTGGGGGTGTGGGTGTAGGAAATAACGAAAGTTCTTTGAAGTAAGAGAGAAGCTAATGCTAACGCAAAAACATTGACACCTTTATCACAAATACCAAGAGTCACAAATGAAGCCCCCTCTTCTAAGAATCTTAGTCTCACATATAAGGCAATTCCCTTCACACTCATAATAAAGCTACTTCTTTCCAAATTTTCTTCCCAAAACTAGATACTTGCCAACCATAAACACGTGAAAATATCCCTGAGTAATCTAACTAGCTAAACTAGTTTTTATTTAAAAAAAAAAAAAAAAGTTTAAGCAGTACCCAAGATTCGATACAAATTAGCATTTTCTTTCTTTTAGTTTCAAAACAAAATGCATGCCAAAGGTCATCGTATACCTTGTTACAAGTCATCCTTAATTTTGCTTTGGCAGATAAATATTCACAGTACTATAAAAACCTATGTATGTAAATTCTTTAAATACCAGTCACTGCACTTACCACTCCCTACCCCCATCTTTAAATCATAAACACAATAAATCTCCATAAATAAAACTAACGGGACAAACATCTGACAACATTCTAGAGGGGGAAAAAAATTCTAACCAAGGGTCTTTTTCACTATACACATTCCCAAACAAGACACTGCATTAAAATGGTGTATCTTCATTTATTTTGAATGTTAGTTCCCCTAAAGACTGGACTAACTGGTTGATTTTTCAATCCAAGCACACAGTAATTTTGTCTAAGTTTTGTTTCTTTTTTTTAAGATTTATTTATTTATTTGAGAGAACGAGAATGAGAGAGCGAGTACATGAGAGGGGGGAGGGTTAGAGGGAGAAGCAGGCTCCCCGCTGAGCAGGGAGCCCGATGCGGGACTCGATCCCGGGACTCCAGGATCATGACCTGAGCCGAAGGCAGTCGCCCAACCAACTGAGCTACCCAGGCGCCCCTCTCTCTTAAGTTTCTAATAGGTCCCACCAAAATGTTTTTAAAATATGTTGAAGAAGCTATCTTATACCTATATTACAAATTCCTAATAACAAAGATCTCACTAGATCATTTAGTCCACGTCCCACCCCTACCAATAATGACCATCCATTCATTCAAGTCTATTCCTTCAAATCAAAATCATTCTTAGATTTTAAAGTGTGCCTTCACCCTACACAGGGGTGACCCCAGAATAATTAATTTCTGAGCTTATGCCTCTTATCAACTTTTTATACTGTTTTACAATAGTACTTGGTACACATGTTAACAGAAGTCCTTAACTTTCTGATAAGGTTTGAACTCTAAATGAATTTGGACAGCCAGCATAAGCACCAGGGCTATTTCAAGACCAATCCTCCAAAAGCACTGGGGTACTTGAAGTGTAAGTCATGTGTATATTAAAAATCTTAACTGTAACTGAGTAAACTTTTTCTTAACTGCTGTTTCTTTAAAACTATCTTCTTCAATTTAAAATCTTAGCACATGAAATTTCAGTTCTAGTGTCACATTTATAGTCTACCTGAAAATAATATCTCTCAAAGTAAACAATCAAGACGTGAGAATTTAAGAATTTTTAAAAAAACAAAAGCTAAAGGTAATTCCACTGATTTATTAAAACTCCCCCAAATCAAAATATTAAATATATCCATTCTTAAACACTTTGTATATGTAAGGTACAAGGGGTCATACAGGAAATCTAAGTATTCAAAGATTTTTAAAATGCCTAAAAATAACTTTTACACAAAACTTTGCTATGACTCATCAATACTTAAGCGATGCCTACAATTAAAATTAAGTGTGAAGAACAAAACGCACCAAAAAATATCTTTTAATTCCTTCCATTCGATAACTAACTACACAGTTTGGGGAGTGGGGGGACTGACAAGTTTCACTAAGAGGGTCTCTTTTCCATCCTTCCACTTCCAAAAACGACAAAGTTAATTCTGTGCTCAACACTGTCAGAGGCACAGTCTCTAGGTTAGAACCCTGAGTCATTACACACAGATCGCTCCAAATCTGCCAGTGTTTATAATAATCAGTTATAACCTAGTGATTATGAGCCCAGGCTGGCTACAGACTCCGGCTCCTCGAGTCCCAGCTGTATGACCTTGAATGAGTCACAGCTCAGTTTCCTCATCTGGGAAATGGGTTAACAGTTCCTACCGGTAGGAAATGCGAGTTCATACATGTAAAGCCCTGCGAAGACTGCCTGGCACTCTTTGTCCTCGTCTTTAAAAAAATCCGTGTGAAAACAATGCTATACAGGGTATTTTCTGACAACCTGGGCGGAATTCAAAAACCAAACGGTGCTGGCATTCGAGGGCTGCACCTAGATTACAAGGTTCGTATAACCTAGGGTTGAACGAAAAGCACAGACCAGTAGTCGGAATCACTCACTCACTAATTTTGCCATTTTTAACTATTTCGGGCTAGGGAGGGGCCTTTCGCTAGGCGTTAGGATACTCAGCAGCTTTGGTGGATCCAAGCGAGAGCTGGTTTGTGCCTGTAAAGAGACTTGTGAAGTTTTGTTGCAATAGCCAGGTATCGATTACAATTTACGCATTCTCAACCAGCAACTCCTCGGGCTGCTGAACAGGTCATTACTCCACCTCGAGGGGCCGGGATCACTCGCACTCACTGCACAACTTCGGAGCACGCCGAGTGCCCTCGCTCCAGCACACACCCCGAACGGCCGCTGAGGGACCCAGCCCCCGACCTTCGCCGGCGCCTCGCCCAGCAGCCAGCCCCGTTTTCTTAACCCGTGCATTGTCCTTGCGGAGAACCCCGGCGGTTCCCACACTGGTGGGGACCGAGAGGAGGGACGAGGGAGGAGCTGGGGGAAGAGGATGAGGAGGAAGAGGAGGAGGAGGAGGAAGACAACCTCCTCCCCTCCGCTCGGGCGACCAGTGAAGGTCTGGCGCTTTCTCGGCCCCCAGGCCCCGGCTCCCGGGAGGCCGCGGCCCCTGCTCCCACCCTCCGCAACTTTCCCTCCGCTCGCACCCGCCTCTCCTCCGGGACCCGGCCTGTCGGGCTCCCTCCCCCGGCGGCCGGCCCCGGGCCGCGGCGCCTCCTCCTAAAATGGCAGGTCCCTCCCTCCGCCCGGCCGGCCTCGGCGCGGGCCCGGCTGCAGGCCGCGGGGGGAGCCGGGCGCCGGGCCGGGCGGGGCCGCGGCCGGGCCGGACACTCACCGGGACGATGGCGGGGCGCTCGCGCCGCTCCCTCCGGTGAGTCTCAGCCTCGGGCTCCCACCGCTGCGCTCCCGCCGCGGCCTCCGCAGCCAGCGCCGCCCCGGCCGCCTCTCTCCGCCCCCGGCGCTCCCGGCTCCGCGGCCGAGCCGCAGCCTTCTCCGTCTCTCTCCGGCTCCGCGGTTCCAGCGGCGCCCGGGGCCGGGGAGGCGACAGCCCCCTCCCCGGCAAATACCGCAGTCCCCGGACCCCGGCTCCCGGCGGCGGGGCCGCGCGGCCCGGCCCGGCGCGGAGGGCGGCGGCGGCGGCGAGGCCGGGCGCCGAGTCGCGGCCGCTCCCGGCGGCTTCTTCCCGAGGAGGATTTTGTAAATCTCACAAAATGGCGCGCGCTCCAAACCTGCGCAGCGAGAAGCGCCGGGGCCCGAGCGGCGGCGGCGGCGGCGGCGGCGGCTCCTCCGCCAGGAGAGCCCGAACCGCCCGCCCCCGAGTCCCCGCACAGACAGACAGACACACACACACGCACACACACACGCACGCACACTCGCCCTCGCACACGCTCACTCACACACACACTCTCACACTCACACCGGTCCCGCCCGCTCGCCGGCGGCGGCAGCGGCACCAACAGCAGCAGCAGGAACAGCAGCAGCAGCAGAAGCGGCGGCGGCGGCGGCGCCCGCACCCCCCGCTCGAGGTGTCCGCTCCCTGAGCCCGACCTGGGCCGCGATCAGCAGCAGCGACGGCAGCAGTCTCCCCGGATCCCCCCGCCGCTCTTGCCGCCGCCACCCCCGCCTCACTCCAATGGGGCTTTTTATTATTATTCGGGCGGGAAGCGAAAGGGTTTAAAAAAAAACCAACCAACAAAATGGCGACGGACCGACCCGGTCGCTATAGCAACTGTCAATCAAAACGCAAAACCCCGGCTGACGTGCTGACGTCCTCCTCCCGCCCCCCGGCCCCAAGCCGGCGGGCGGGGCCTGTTGCTCGGGCAACGGCAGATTCCGTTCCCTCCTTTCTCTCTACCCCTTCGTCCCCAACCAACCACCCAACCCCCTCAGGTCACGTGAAGGATAAATTCGGAGCTCGGGCCCGCTACGAGTGTCAGAGGAGGGCGCGTGATTCGCTCGGGGGAGGGGAGAGGAGGGGGACGGCCAGGCCGAGGGAGGGAAGGGAAGGAAAGAGAAGGGAAGGGGGGGTGAGGCGGCGGCCCGGCCTGTGCGCGAGCGCCCGCCGACTCCCCGGCCTCCTGGCCGCGCCCCGCCCAGCGCCCGCGCCCGCGCCCGCGCCCGCGCCCGCGCCGACTGCGGCCCGGGGAGCGCGCGCGGCCTCCGCGCCGCCACCCCCGGAACCCCGCGCTTCCGCGTCGTGCGCCCGCAGCCCCGCCCGCGCCGAAGGGTGGGGGGAGGGAGGGGGCCGGGCTCTGCGGCCGCGCGGGACCCGGGAAGCCCAACCCTGGCGCCCCGGCCGGGGGCTCTCACCTTCATCCCCGCGGAGCGCGCCGGCCGCTGGAAGGCGGCCCGGGTGCGCACGGCCGCGCGTTTCAACTGTTCTTCGAAGGGCTCGCGTGCCCGCCTCGCCGGAAAATGCCCACGGAGGCCGCGGCGGGGGTGGGGAAGAGGCCGCCTCCGCGTTTCAGACATCTCAGGAATTCCGGACGCTGCGCCCGAATCCGGGATGCCCCTGCGGCTGACACCTTGATTAAATACTGCCTCTCGATTTTTGCAGCAACCAATGCCAACGATCAGATATTATGCATGGAACCATCATAAAAACTTTTTTAGGCTGTGCACGCTCTCCCAGGCTTTACCACCTATTTCAAGCCCCTCCGCACCTTTCTGGGAGCAGCCTTTCCTTCCCGATCTGAATGCCCCTTACATTAATCCTCTTGAGCTATTACTGTATCTTTGCTGCCCAACTCCCTGTTTTTCTCTTTGATGGACCATCTCAGCTTCCCAATTCTTAATTCGCCCGCCGTTCAACATTATGGCTCTCGTTTATTTGTATTTTATCTACCCCTCCGCCTGACTAAATGTCGCTAATTGCGCTCCCTGGCATTAAAATCTAGGTATGCTAGTAGCCATGCTGTGCTGGCTACTTTGTAATTAGTAGACAGCCACTGGCTAAGAATTGTGTTCTGTACGAATGCGAATAAATAGCACTTAAAACGTTATGCTGAAAAGGTTAAGGTAGATATTATTTTACACCAAGTCACTAATTTATTGATGTCTAAGCTTATTTATCGTGTTCCTACCAGTTTTTTCTTAAGCTGTTCACAAATACATTAGCAACAGATAGGATCTCATAGGTGTAAAGAAAAGTCCCCGTAATAAGTACTGGTCTCTATCCTATGTGACTCAAGGAAAGACACTTGCTTTAAATGATTTACAAGTGTTTCCCTCCTACAGTTATTAGAACATTGATATTAGGCAACAATTCAAGTTAGCACAGGCCCTAAATCAGACTAAACCTAAAATAAATTAGCTAAAAAGTAGTCAGGCAAATAGCTTACTTCAGACTGACTCTTCATGTTATCAAAAGTTCTTTTGGATTACTCTCCCTCAAAAATGCCCTAGTAACGTAATTAAAATCCACTTTCAACTTGATTGTTTTTGAAAGGAGTGGTCAAGGGTGGCCCTATTAAGACAAGAGATCCCACCTTGACTCCTCCCAAGCTCACACTTCCACTTACACATTTAACACAATCAACTCCTTCCTGGCTGGCTCCTGTTCTCCCTGGTCCCCACCCCACCCCATTCACCACAGTTTCTCCTCTATCAGAACACAAGCATTTGCAACCTGTAACACTAGATTTGAGTCAAATTTTTATTGCTGGTAATAAAGGAGACTTGCATAATTAAACTTCTAGGTAACCTGGGAAAAAAAATATGACAATGTCTCAGAAAAAGTGCCCTTGTCTTCAGTCAAATCAATCTGGAAGATCAGGTTGAGGCAGAATCTTGAGCTAATAATCATGCATAATATAAGGCATTGCTGGTCTTCATATCTAGAAGGCTGTACCCCTCCTCCCCAACACAAGCCACCCTCCCCCCCCCTCCAAGCCTGACAGCCTTACACAACATTGATCAATGAACTATCATGTCCAGGCTGGAATGCTGTAAAATAGTTTTATATAGGCTTCACCTAAAAAGTAACCTGTAAATTGTACTAGCTCCATACAAATGAACACAGGTAAGTAGGAAGGACTCTGGTAGAAAAGCCAGTTTAGTGTTGCCCAGGCTCACCAGTGTCACCTGAGACTCTCCCTATGAGACTCAGTGGCAGATGTATCTATTCATAGAAGTGACCCTCTAAAAGGGAAGACCCCTTCCCTCAACTCACAAATAATAACAGCTTCCATTTACCCAGTAAATTCTAAGATCTCTCTAATCTCATAGCAACATTACATCCCCATTGTACAGATGAGAAAATAAGTCCTGAGTAAATAACTTTCCCAAGGTCATACCACCAGTAAGTGGTAAAGTCAAAATTGAAATCCAGGTGTAATTGCAAAGCCCATGGTCTTTCCACCACACCAAGATGGTTCAAGAGTATTAGGGAGATTGGGTCTTACCAAGGCAATCAAAATTAGGTCATTAGAGTAAGCCCTAATAAAATATGATTTATGTCCTTATAAAAAGGGGAAATTTGGACAGAGACAGAAGTACTCACAGGGAAGACGAAGGAAAGATACAGAGAGAGCACCTTCTACAAGCCAAGAAACACCTGCCAGAAATTAGGAGAAAAGTTCGGAACAGATTATCCACAACTTTCAGAGGGAACCAAACTTCCAACACCTTGATTTTGGACTTGTAGCCTCCAGAACTGTGAGACAGTGAATTTCTGTTGTTTAAGCCTTGTAGTTTGTGGTACTTTGTTTTGGCAACACTAGCAAACTAATACACAGATCTAAGCCAAGATGCCAGGTTTTTTTGTTTGATTCCACATGTGTTAATGACCAGTGTACTCCCTATACTAATCCCAAAAGTTCAGTAGTTGGAGTCCTGCTGGGAATTATAACCCAAAGTTTCCAAAGACAAACAAACTAACAAATATTCCCATCTCTGCCCCTCACACCAGCTGAGAAGGTGAACAGTTGATAATTCATCCCTGGACAGTAGTGTAGCTGGAATCTGACACCCTTCCTCTTCTTACAGACTTCTGAGGAAGGTCCTTGATTGATCCCTTTATACAAGTTTTATTGTTTGTTCTGAATTTAGTAGTAATTCATGTATATCAAACAGATTAAAAACAAGCAAAATAGGGTGCCTGGGTGGCTCAGTCAGTTAAGCGTCTGACTCTTGGTTTTGGCTTAGGTCATGATCTCGGGGTCCTAGGATGGAGCCCCACATCAAGCTCTGTGCTCAGTTGGGAGTCTGCTTGTCCCTCTCACTCTCCCTCTGCCCCTCATGCTCTCTCTCTCTCAAATAAACAAAATCTTAAAAAAATAAAACAAGATAGGGGCATTATTTAAACTGACAATGGTAGTATGTTGAGAACCAAGAAGTTAGTACAGTTGACCCTTGGTCAACACAGAGTTAGGGGTGCTGATACCCCCTTCCCCATTGTAGTCAAAAATCGTGTATAACTTTTGACTCCCCCAAAATTTAACTTTTAATAGTCTACTGTTGACCAGAAGCTTTACCAATAACATACATAGATGATTAACACATATTTTGTATGTCATGTGGATTATATACTGTATTCCTACAATAAAGTAAGCCAGAAAAAGAAAATGTTTTAAAAAAATTATAAGGCAGACAAAATACATTTACAGTACTGTACTGTATTTATCAACAAAAATATACATCTAAGTGGGCCCATGCAATTCAAACCCATGTTATTCAAGGGTCAACTGCACTCAGTTCTCTATACCTGAGGCCCAAAAACAAAAAAATAAAAGTAATATATGGTCATTACAAACACGGTTTTAATATATGGAAAAATAAAGAGGTACAGATTATTCATAGATACCACCCAGAGATAAACCTTATTAATATCTTCATATTGGCATATATCCTCCCAGACTTTCTTAGGGAGACATGAGTGCATACACACACATACAACACATATAGGTACGTTTTATGCCTCCTTTACTCACAATTATGAACACATATTTCTGTTAATCAAGTAAAATTTAGGTA